GTAAAAATCCTAAAAAAACAATATTTATATAATTTCTAACTGTGAAAGTGAAGCTGATTTTTTTATTTTCTTTTTAAAGGAGTGCTATTGAGCCATCTACAGGTGAGTGATGGTATTCAGTTTACACATGGGTAAAGTGGTTAAAAAAAACATAATAATAACCAATTATTCTTAATTAAATTAATAGCTAATCCCACAAAACTAGAACAATAGTTCAGCTTGGTGTAAAACCAGAATTTCTAAACATTTTCAATAACAAAATAGCTTTCTTGATGACATCACCAACACAATCATAGCATAAACACACTATATATCGGATGGCAGCCGTCAAGTACTGCAAATGTATACAACATCTACTTGTACTAAATCTCTCCAACACAAACACACGCTCACACACACTTGCCTTTCCTCCCATTGACAGCTGGGGGAGCTACAGGCTTTTCCTGGGATTCTTGTGTGGGAAATGACACACACATAAACAAAGGGCGAGTCGAAAAATCAGTGTTTTCCACAAACACACAGGTACCCTCTAACCGTGCTAAAACACACACACACACACACACACACACTTACGAGAAGCTTCCAACACTATTAAAGCAAAGGCAAAAGATGAAAAAGAAATATTGCTGAAAGCTAAATAAATGATGTAAAGAAACAGGCCCTTGGACTATGTTCAGAACAGCATACTACTCTTACTATTGGATTTGTGCGGTATGCCGTTTCTAGCATACTACTCATTCTAGCATACTATGATTTAGTATTCCATTCCAAACGCAGACATGTCCTTGTGTTCAACTCATTTGCATTGACACACCTGGCACAGAAGCCTGCTGGATAAGCGGTGAGGCTGATGATGGAGCAGCAGCGGGCGGAGGAGGAGGAGGAGGATCATATGGATGAACATTTATGAAATGTATTGATGCACCAAAATGTAAAAAAAAAAAAAAAAGATCCTAAGCCTTAAAAGGCTACTTTAACAGATAAAGTTAACTATATATATACACATCAATAATATAGTTATTTTTACTTTAACTACTTTATTTAATAATAATTTCCAATTATTTGGAAAACATTTTTTAAGAAACTCTGTGTAATACAACTATGTAATATGTACACTATCATTCAAAAGTTTGGGTCATTATGATTTTTTTTTTTTAGGTTTTTAAAGAAGTCTCTAATTTTCACCAAGGCTGCATTTATTTGATCAAAAATACAGATACATTTCTTATTATTACAAAGAAATCTTTTGTAGAAATGTAAAAGTTTTTAATGTTATTTTTGATCAATTTAATGTAACCGCAAATGCTAATTTTAAATAAGCATTTTTGATTTCGGAAAAAAAAACATTCATTTTGGTGCATCACTAATAAAGACAAATGTCTATGTCTGCTATATAACGACAGCATTACCAGCCATTGCTTGTGTGGCTTGAGGAGGTGGAGGGGGCGGGGCCAGGGGGTGTGAAGCCCCTCCCACCACTTCAACATTCAGACAGAAATGAGAGTAAGAAAGACAGACAGAAGTATGCCATCAGAAATGAAGATGAGAACAACAAAAATGTGAAAAGAAAAGCTAAAATAATGTCCTATACCATTTACTCCACTTGGTCACTAAACATACTAACTACAGTATGCTACAGTAACCTCAAATGCAAATACAATTTCGCAAATTAAGTAATTTAATAACAAAAATTTAGAGATCCATTGAAGTGTACTATACATAGTCTATCAACAAACTTTGATGTAAATGCCAGAATATCAAGATCATATTTGCATTTTCCTGATTTTAAGTGTCCCATGTGTCTTAAATATAATTTAACAGCCACAGTCTGTGGAAGAACAAACAGGGGGCGGAGCAGGAGGCTGAGGTACCGCCCCTGTTCCTGCTTCATTGGTTGATGAGTTGTGCCAATCAAAAGAGAAAACAAACCAAAATGTCAAAGAACTAACCAATAAACTGTGACTATCACTGTGTGACTGAGAAGATCACTTCTAAGAGTAGACTGCCATTTCGAAAACACAATAAAAATATATATTTATCACTTAACATTGCTCATATGCCAATGATTATCACTTCTAAGGCTGCTGAGCCTCTGCTATAAACATACCAGAACTACTTTGGTTATTCAGCAACTTAAATGCTGTCAGAAGATGTTACTAACGTTAAAGGTCTGACATAAATTGCAAGTACCTCAACAAATTTCAATAAGGGCATGTAGATTTGTATGGAAGCCTGTTTACACTATAGAATAAAAAATATAAAAAAGGTAATTGCAATATTTTATCTCACAATTCTAACATTATTTCTTGCAATTGAAATCTCATAATATTGAGTTAACATTTTGTAATTCAGACTGTTATCTCAGAATGGCCAGTTTATATCTCACACTTGGGACTCAGTTCTGACTTTTTCTGACTATTTTTTTTTATGATTACAGAATTATACCTCGCAATTTGGCATTTTCCAATTAGAGACCAATTAGGTATTTTTAAGTTTACTTCTATCATCTTCCAAGAAAAAAGTACTAATTGTGAGAAACAAAGTCAGAATTGTGAGATAAAGTTGCAATTACCCATTTCGTGGCATAAACAGGCTTCCATATTTTTAATATCCATTGTATCGGATTTGGACATTAATCCAGACATGGACGAAGTACACAGACTACACAGCATACATCGAAAATGATACATGTACAGAACTATTAATTGCACTAACATTGCTGAAGCAAAAACTAATACATCTGTTCAGTCCACTAAATGAATGGTAGTAGCTAGACCAATGACAGGTAAAGCTCACAGACCAGAGCTAACAGGTATAGTCAATCAGAGGAGATGATAAAGCTGTAATAAACAAGACTGAGACGAGGTTAAACACACAGAAGCTAGTGCTTACAGACCTTCATAAGGCTCAGTAATGCCCTCGCCATCTTCTGGGAAACAGGTGGGGAAAAAAACAATCCATGTTGTGTTATTCTATTGTAACATAATATTCTTTACCTGGCTTTTGTGGTCAAGATGGTTGTTTTTGCATAAGCCATTTTTGTGATAACTATTGTGCAATAATAGGTTATAATTATTTACTTATTTGTTGAATTTCTGTCAGTTATCCAATGGAAAGGTTATTCTTATCGTCCACATAAATGCATCTGGACGGCATCTGGTGACCCTAAACCCAACTAATTATTCAAGTTTTCCACCCAAGCGCCACAAACCCTGCAGTCTGGAAGAAGCCTGGTTTGTCTACTCACTTCTGTCCATAGAGCTCTTTGGTGGGACTTGCGGTAGCTGCCGACCTCTTCGACTTGATACTGGCGTGCTGCTGGGACTTGTTTGGACCGAGCCCGTTCGGATGTTTGCCCTGTGGGACAGATGGTGTGTCAGGAATCAACGTAAAGCACTACATCTAAAGAAGTGCTCGTGGTCGAGTCATAAACCTGCCCAAAACAGTTAGACTAAAGCAGAACACGCTGGTGAGAGCATACTAATAAAACAAACCTACTAACTACTTTTACATTGGCAGGATCATTTAGCAATGAGACAATAGTGTCAGAAAACACACTTCACTTGAATGCTATAAAAAGGGACACATACTGTGTACTATTAAACAAAACAAGTCAATATTTGGCACACTTTTTTCTGGGGTTAGTAAAAAAAACTAAAAGGAAGTAAAAACATCTGGTGAAATATATGTCCTGTAGATAAGGTACGTCAACGTGCTGTACAGCAACCCACATAAGACTGTAGGTGAATATCACCAATCAAGTCATATTTCACTCCAATATCAAAAGAAATAAATAAGAAATTGTATTTTTCAGCCTATTTTAGGAAAATTTTTGTATGTGACATAATTATCACCAAAATTATACATATTCTCTCCCTCCCCTCCATTACTAAAACTTCTCACTGTAAATAAATAAATAAAAATAAAACAAATATTATTTTCATTACTGCAATGCTATATATATATATATATATATATACACTCTATATCCCCCTCAGGGAACTCAAGCTGTGTTGGTACGCTTTGGGAACGCCTCTGCGTGACCACGTTCTGAAGCACGTGTGGAATCAGTCCATTGGAGAAGTGAGACGTCACGAGCGGGGTGACGTCGTGAGCAACCAGGAAGCTTAAAAGTCCACCTGGCACAGCACATGTTAGCTTCTGCTCTTCAGTAACTGCGCTGTGGTATGTGTATGTGTGTTACACGAGCATTCAGTCAGTCATTATATCTCTGTAAGACAGCGATAATGTTAAAGTGTAAAAACAAAAGTAAATCGGCGAGCGGACGGTGCTATAGATTGTGTGTTCCTCCCTGCCGTCATTATCTCACGGGTGGGGATACACACGATCTTTGAGTCGTCTGTTTGGGAGCGGAGCATGCACGGTCAGCTCTTGAGGGAGCACGCTCTGCGGTTTCTTCCCCCCAGAGAGAGAGCCAGGCGCTTCATCTCTCTTCCTTTGAGGAGGTTGATGTGATGAGCATTGATACTGAAGAGACCGTGGACTCGCTGCCACAGTCCCTCGCATATGAGGAGATGGTGGAGGTTTTCAGTCGTGCTGTAGCCAAGTTGAAAATTGATTGGCCAGCCGAGAAGCAGGACATTCGTCAAAAGAGTTAATTAGACGACACTTCCTGCACGTTAGATCACAACCTCCACGCCGAGGTGTTGAGGTTGTGGAATAATCTCGATTCATCCAGGCTCTACAGCCCCACTGTTTCTGACTATTCTAATATTGTGGGGCTGAATGAACAGGGATATGGGACAATGCAGAGGGTGGAGCAGATGCCCCAAGGCTTCCCACCAAGCCAGTCAGAACAACATCGGCCTTGGTGGAGAAAGCTTATACGGCAGCAGGTCAGGCGGTGTTACAGGCATACCAGGCCGACCTGCTTAAGGAACAGGGTGACAAAGTGGAGGTAGATTCCGACACAGTTTGAGGGCAGACCCCCCAGGAGAGGAGAGGTACAGACCTCAGTACACAGTGCCCGATCCTCCTCAGTGCCCTCAGGGGGCTGTTCTGTCAACCCTGCCACCTCCGGTGCTTCAGGGCACAGCGGTCTCCAGCGAGCATACAGCACAGGAATGCTCATGCCCTCAAGTGAAGGCACCATAGCCGTCAGGTCAGTCGTTCCCTGCCAGTTATCCGCTTCAGGGCACTGAAAGTGACTCCTCTAGCCATACCAGAGGCTAGCCCCGAGTGGCTGGTTCCTTTAGTAGACTTTCTGACAACGTGGAAACTTCTGCCAAATGTCTCACAATGGGTCCTGCATACTATAGAGAGGCTACAGAATCCAGTTTAGTTTCTCGCCTGCCTTGTTCCAACGGGGTTGTTCCCACAATAGTGGTTCCCGAGCAGGCTCTGGTAATGGAACAAGAAATAGACACTTTCTTGAGGAAGGAGGAAATAGAACATGTTCCTCCTCTCTCGAGAGACTCCGGGTTCTACAGCCAATACTTCATCGTTCTGAAGAAGGATGGAGGTTGCATCTCATCATAGATCTGCATCTGCTGAACTGTGCTATCAAACACTTTCGGTTCAAGATGCTCACAATCAAACAGATTGTGTCTCAAATCAGGTCCGAGGTCTGGTTTGTCACAATAGATATCAAGGATGCATACTTCCACGTATCCATCCTTCCACAACACAGGAAGTTCGGCATCGAGATGTCATCCTCACTCATATGAAAGAGCTGGGGTTGAGGCTGAATGCCAAGAAAAGTGTGCTTTCTCCAGCACAGAGGACCACTTATTTTGGTGTGGTGGAGGATTCAACGATGCAGGCATGTCTGTCTCCTGCTCGTATAGAATCGATTCTCAGAACCGCAAAGAGAGTGAGAGAAGGCCAGTCACTTACTGTCAAACAGTTTCAGAGACTGTTAGGTCTGATGGCAGCTGCATCCAATGTAATACCTTTTGGCCTGCTGTACATGAGACTTTTGTAGTGGTGGCTCAGGACAAAGGGGTTTTCCCAAGGGGCAACCCGCTTCGCATGATCAAGGTCATGCAGCAATGCTTACATGCCTTAGACATGTGGAGGAAACCTTGGTTTCTGTCTCAAGGCCCGGTGTTGTGGGTTCCTTGTTGTCGCATAACGCTAATGATGGACACATCCCTCACGGGCTGGGGAGCAGTCATGAGTGGCCGCTCTGGCCAAGGTCTGTGGGAAGGCCACCATCTCATGTTGCACAGAAATTTCCTGGAGATGCTGGCCGTGTTTCGTGCATTGAAACATTTCCTTCCAGACCTGAGGGGCCATCATGTGCTTGTCCACACAGACAACACATCGGTGGTCTCCTACATCAACCGGCAGGGGGGTCTGCGCTCGCGCCCACTATACAAGTTGGTACACCAGATCCTCCTGTGGGCTCAAGGAAAACTCCTCTCAGTCAGAGCAGTTTACATCCCTGGACACCTGAATCAGGGAGCAGACATCCTGTCTAGACAGGCTGAGGCCCGGGGAATGGAGGCTCCACCCCGAGGTGGTGGAGCTCCTCTGGAGGGAGTCCGGCCAGGCGGAAGTGGATCTATTTGCATCGCAGGAAATGACACAGTGTCCGGTCTGGTTCTCCCTCACGCATCCAGCTCCATCTTCTGCTAGTAGCCCCATTCTGGCCAGCCCAAGTATGGTTCTTGGACCTTGTGTCCCTTCTCGATGGCTCTCCCTTGGAGATTCCGATCAGGAGGGACCTCTTCTCTCAGGCGGGGGGCTCCATCCTTCACTCCCGCCCATAGTTATGGAAACTGTGGGCGTGGCCTTGAGGGGACACAGCTCTTAGCATCCAGTCTCTCAACTGAGGTTGTTGAGACCATACTCCAGTCCAGAGCTCCCACCACAAGGAAAGAGTACGTGCTGAAGTGAAAACATTTTACCTCTTGGTGTGGACAGCGACTGCAAAATACAGTCAACTGCCCAGTTGGTACAGTTCTGGAGTTTCTGCAGGAGCATATTTCCACAGGGTTATCGCCCTCCACTCTGAAGGTGTACGTGGCAGCCATAGCTGCTTACCATGCCCCTCTGGGTGGTCAGTCATTGGGAAGAAACCCACTCGGTACTCGTTTCCTCCTTGGCACTTTGAGGCTGAGACCAGCACAGTGCACCAATGTGCCCAGACATTGAGGTGGTTCTGGAGGGCTTGTGCAATGCCCCCTTTGAACCCATTGAGGAGGTTCCAGATATGTTCTTCACCTTGAAAGACGGTCTTACTCCTTGTTATATCCTCACTCAAGAAGATAGGGGATCTTCAGGCACTGTCAGTATCTCCCTCCTGCCTGGAGTTTGCCCCAGGTATGGTTAGGGCCTTCCTTTACCTGAGGCACGGGTATGTCCCTAAGGTGCCCACCTCTACGCTAGGGCCCATAGTGCTGCAAGCCTTCTGTCCTCCTCCCTTCCAGAAAGCTGACCAGGAGAAGCTAAATCTTCTCTGTCCAGTGTGAGCATTGGACGCTTACGTCCACAGAGCTGGCCAGTGGCGTAAGGCAGATCAGATGTTTGTTTGCTTTGATCCACCTAAGAAGGGCTTTCGGGTGACCAAGCAGACCCTGAGCAGGTGGGTGGTCGAGGCCATCTCACTTGCTTATGAGTCCTCTGGCCTCCCAGCACCTATGGGGGTCAGAGCCCACTCGACCTGGAGTATGGCAGCCTCCAAGACCTTATTCATGGGTGCTTCCCTGCAGGATATTTGTGATGCGGCGGGCTGGTCCTCTCCGCACACATTTGTTCAGTTGTATAATCTGGACCTGGCTTCTAACCCCAGGATCCCAAGTCTTCTCATCTTGATGTGCTCGTCTGATACACACCATGGCACAATGGGCATTCTCATTCCCAAACCGTTCCAATGCAGATCGAGTTCCCTGAGGGCATCCCTGCATCCCTATAGGGGCTTACTTCATCCTATCAGAAGCTAACATGCGCTGTGCCGGGTGCACTTTTAAGCTTCCTGGGTGCTCACGTCACCCCGCTCGTGACGTCTCACTTCTCCATTGGACTGATTCCACACATGCTTCAGAACGTGGTCACACAGACGCATTCCCAAAGTGTTCCGACACAGAGTCTTGTTCCCTTTAAAAAGTATCACCCCCCTTTAAAATAATCCAAATTTGTTGCTTTGCAGCCTGAAAAGAAGACGGACACAGTTTTTGTTTTATCCAGCCGTATTTACTCAGCCGTATTTTATTAAAAAATTAATAAAAAAACAGAATCACTGAGTTGGAAAAAGGATCAACCCTTGTGTCAGTATTTTGTTGAACCACCTTTTGCTTTAATTACAGCCTTTAATCTGTTGGGATATGTCTCTACTCACTTTGCACATCTAGACTTTGTAATTTTTGCCCACTATTCTTTGCAGAACTGCTCAAGTTCATTTAAATTTGATGGTGACCGTTCGTGGACTGCAGTCTTCAAGTCATTCCACAGATTTTCGATGGGGTTTAAATCTGGGCTCTGACTGGGCCATGTAAGGACATTCACCTTTTTCTTCTTTAACCACTGTGTGGTCAGTTTTGCTGTGTGCTTTGGGTCATTGTCATGTTGGAAGGTAAACCTTCTTTCCATTGACAACTTTCTGGCAGAGGGCAGCAGATTTTCCTTTGAAAAGTGCTCCAGTCCCTGCTGCAGAGAAACACCCCATAACAGGATATCACCACCTCCATGCTTTACTGTAGGAATGGTGTTATTTGGATGGTGAGCTGTATTGGATTTGTGCCAGACATATTGTTTGGTGCTGAGGCCAAATAATTAAATTTCAGTCTCATCTGTCTCAGAATCTTCAAGGTGTGTTTTGGCAAAGCTCAGTCGTGACTGCTTGTTGCCTTTCTTGAGGAGTGGCTTTTTTCTTGCAACCCTCAATCAATGATCTTTGTCATAAATTCCTGCAGCTGCTTCAGAGTTGCTGTAGGCCTCTTGGTCGCCTCTCTGAATATGACTTTTTTGACCAGTTTCCTCTGGCTCTTTCATCCAGTTTGGAGCAACGTCCTGATCCAGGGAGGGTCTGTGTTGTACCAAATACCTTCCACTTCTTAATAATAGACTTCACTGTGCTTCTAGGCATTGATAAAGACTTTGCAATTGTTTTGTATCCATCTCCTGACTTGTGCCTGTCCACAACTTTATCCCGGAGATCTTTTGACAGTGCCTTGCCACCCATAGTTGATTGTTTGCTTCAGTTTCACTTCCAAGGACTGAAATGCTCCAGGAAGCTCTTTTCATGCTGAGCTGATCAAAATGACCACAGCTGATCACAGTTGAAAATCAAATGGCTTTGTTTGTGTGCCATTGAGAAGGTGATTAGCTACACCTGATTGAGTTTACCAGTCATTTTTAGGAGGGGGGTGATTCTTTTTTCCAACTCAGTGATTCTAGTTTTTTTTTTCTGACATATTGGTGTTATATACACGTCATTTTTAGGAGGGGGGTGATTCTTTTTTCCAACTCAGTGATTCTAGTTTTTTTTTTCTGACATATTGGTGTTATATACACGTCATTTTTAGGAGGGGGGTGATTCTTTTTTCCAACTCAGTGATTCTAGTTTTTTTTTTCTGACATATTGGTGTTATATCTTTCACTTGGAGTTGCACTGATTAAATACAGCTGGATAAAACAAAAACTGTGTCTGTCTTCATTTCAGGCTGCAAAGCAACAAAATGTGATTATTTTAAAGGGGGGTGACTCTTTTCTATACCCACTGTATATATATTATGTAATTATGTAATATTTAAATTGTAATGTTTTACTAGTGTTTGTTGCATTGGTTTTCGTTTACACTGATTTGCTGAAAGAAATTGCATAAAACAGTTTTTTATATATATTTATAACCATGTATTTTGTAAATACTAAAATTATGTAATGCAAAGTCTTTGGTGAAAACGTATTTTTCATTTGTGAGAAAGTACTTTGTAAAAGCCTTCATGTGCCGTTTAAACCATTCCAGCACCTTTGTTCTGTTAATAATATTAGTCTCAGTTTTATTATTACATATTATGTGCAAAAGTTTTTTTGCACATAATATAGAAATAGAAATGAGAAATGAAATAGTAATAATACAGAAATAAAAATAATATAGAAACAAAAATGAGAATCAACATTTAAAACAATTACACAATAAACCATCTGGACACATACTGAAAATCACAATGCAAAAAAATCTTACTGAATCTAAAACAGGCTTAATTGTATTTTTATAAAATAATTTCTTACTTTTATCTTCCAATTCTGTCGTGAAATATGACTTAGCATGTTCTTGATAGAATTATTCTGTCAGAAAAAAAACATCTGACCATATAAGAGCATGCATTTAATAAATATGTCACAGTCATGTGCATTTTAGCCACGTAAAAATATGAATGCATACGTTTAAAATGCACATCAACTCCACAGTAAACACAATGATCTGTAAAGCACCTTTTGAGCTCAGTGTCACATCAGCTTTCAGTACATGTGGCTCACATCTCAATGTCAGCTGTGGCACATCCAAAAGCTACCGCATCAGTGAAAGTTCATGTGCAAATCTGACACATTTATGTCATTTCCTAGTGACTTATGATGTGCCGGGCAAATCGTAAGTCAAAAAGTGTTATGGTGTCTCAAAAGGTGTGATGGAGTCAGCATCAGGAGAGGTGCTTGTGGCTGCTAAAGCTGCAAGGAAAGTGAAAAGGCCTAAATGCATGAGCACACGGCACTCATAACAGCCCATAACTCAAAGCATAAACTGTTAAACAACAAATAAATAGTGTTAGTAACACACACACAAAAAAATAAGTCAAAACAAAACTGTACGATGCCAGGTACACACCATTACATCTCAAGAGGATATAACAGGTGTGTCTATAATCCAAATGAAAAGACGTTAGTTGCAACCATCATCACTACTCTCTACTCTATAAATGAAGATAAAATCATGAACAGCATCGTTACAACACAGGGTTAAAATAAGAGGATGTGGAGAGAGGGGCATTCCAGGTGACAGGAAGCAGAAGGCATGGGTTCGTTTAGCGCTTTAGTGCTTGTTGTGATGGGTCGGGTCACCTCGTTAAGGCAGGAGAGGGAGGGGCGGATCTCCCTGACGGTAAGGACGGCATGGATCTCATGTAGCCAGAGTCGGGCCGCTCGGACGAGCGGGAGCGTGTGTAGACCGGTCGCTCCATCATGGGCCGCTGGTCAGCTGACCTGGACCTGTAATGGTCATGTCTGTCCACCATGCTGCGGCTATACCTGCAGAACGTTAGTCAAAAAGCCATGCTCAGCGGAGCCCCAGTGCATCATGGGATCACAGGGCATAAAATTACTCTCAGCTGTTAGGTCACTCCTGTGAAATGATATCGCTTGGCTAATAATTAGCACACCAAACAAAAGTGGCTTTAAGTTTCAGCATTGGCTGCTCAGGGAAATCATAAAACGAAGGACTAAACTGGAACAACCAAAAATAAGTGTTAACCAACAATTTGACATTAAACAAACAAAAAGAAGATTCAGGAGGCTGCTGCAAAGAAAAACAAGTGAACACATTTCATACTAACACAACTATAAGCAGCGTGTCTACAGTCTACTCTACTCCTATATACTCTATGGCAACACTTACATGCATAAATTATTATTATTATTATTATTATTATTATTAATAATTATTATTAATTATTAAATAGAGACATTCATGACAAGTGCTGGGGAAAGTTACATTTAAAATTAATGCATTACAATATTGCGTTACTCTAAAAAAACAAAAAAGGAACTAATTGCGTTACTTACAGTAGTTACGTTTTATGGAAAGTAATGCATTCCGTTACTTTTGCGTTACTTTTTGTCACCTGTGCTGAGCTTGCTTATTTGCATGTTTATTACAACTGTAAAGGTCTTTTCACACCAAAAGTGAATTTAATAAGCCTCAGGCTGAAGGAAGCGCCTCTGCACTTCACTCCCAATTCCTCTCAACACTGGACAAGAGAGATGTCAGTGAATAAATGGGAAAACAAAGTAACTGGCATTACTTATTTGAAAAAGTAACTCAGATTTGTTGTTGTAAATTTAAAAGTAAACTGTACTAGTTACTTGAGAAAAGTAATCTGATTACAGAACTCATGTTACTTGTAATGCGTTACCCCCAACACTATTCACGACTGTTTCTTAACACACTTAAGTAGACTTTTAAAAAGTGCACTTTGTAATAATGTCAAATTAGAAGTTTTACTTTGAAGTATATTTAAAATCATTATGTTTTAATACTCTTTGTTCATGTTTTAAATGTACTAAATTGCACTTTTATCATTACAAATGATTAATTACAAATATATTTAAATACAGGACATACAAGTTTCAATAGTGACATTCAATTATATTTTGCTTTACCATAAATGCTGGTTAGTACATTCAGCAGTTACACTTTAACCATATTTCAAAGTCACTGGAAGTAATTATGAAATTACATAAAAAGATGTACTAAAAATACTAGATGTCCTCCTTAAGTAACAAAAATAATGCATTTAATATAAATTTTAACTATAATACATTTTCACTGAATTGCAATTAACATGCAATTAAGTGTTTGAAAACATTGCATTCAGTTCACACTTAAGTATTTTTTAAAGCATAATATTTTTGTAATAAGTACATTTATCCAAAAGAGTACTTCTTTTTCACAAGGATATACTGAAAATACACTCTTCAAAGTGAGAATCGGGTACTAGTTCAAACTAAACTAACTAAAACTAAATATAATTACATTCTAAAAACTAGCTACCATACTAAGACACTAAAGGTGGGCGTACACGGTGCGATTCTGAAGGTTGGAACGCCGTGAGCTCTGGCACATGTCACGGCTCGTACGACAGCAAAAATCGCACCGTGTACGCCCGCCTTAAGATGATTCAGCTAACACCAGTGATGTTTATGAAATCTTCTATTTATATAAGAAGCAACATATTATTTGTTTTTCACTGTGCTTCTGCCATTATACCAGAAAAGCTGCCAGAATACGAAAACATAAAAAATGCTGTAAAATGTAAAGGTCACAGGACAACTACAACATCTAAATCCAACTTGAGTCTGCACTGAAACTACTGCATTTAATGTAACTATACCTTTCTGTATCTGTAGAAGGCTCAATTTCTATCCTGGGACACGTCCTACTGAATAAACCAACCTCAGTGTGTTAGTGCCACACTTAGTAAATGCTATTCAGTATATATTTGCTTAAAAAGGTACAACAGATCAGTATTTGAGAAAGTAAATAAATCAACGAGCTTTAAATCCATAACTGGGATCCATTACTACACAAAGCCTCAGTGGGAACATAAATGTGGCATCTGTTCCTGGCAGTTGATAACAGATGAGTAAAGAAAGGGCGAGCGTTTGTGATGTGCTGTGGGTGTTTATCTCTTCAGAAGTCTTACCTGTAGTCTGCACTGGTTCCATTCATGACATGATTGGGCCATGGAGTAGATACATGATTGGGCCCATTGTAATATCTTTAAATGGAGGATGAGGATCGATAGATTGAAATGAAGAAAGGAAAGCATGATTAGAATGAGCAAGAGCTGAGTTAGGGCAAGGGGTGAGGGTTATGTCTGTAACTAGTATAAAACAGTCCTATTATGAATGCATGAACAGAATGCATGTCTCAACTAAAGTATCCAGATTTTACCTCTCAGGAGATTCAAATGAGTCACTGTAGGCAGACATTTGTCTATCTCTCCTCATCCTCCTAACACAAAATAACACACAATAAGATCCTACGTGACAACGTAACTCTACTTGCCAAAAATAAACCTAATGCAGCCGTTCGGTGCTATAGATTCACATATCCATTCTCAATATTCATATTCATTCATTCTCATGATATGGTGTGATATATCACTATTTTTCCAAAAGAATGGGACTCTAACATAATGGGACATTTATGGGTCACACTTTAGTTTGGGGACCAATTCTCATTATTAACTGACTATAAACTATGACTTTTACCTCAATAAGCTCCTAATTATTGCTTATTAATAGTTAGTAAGGCAGTTATTAAGTTTAGGTATGGGATCGGTTTAAGGGATCTAAAATATGGTCGTGCAGAATAAGGCATTTAAATGTGCTTTATAAGTACTAATAATTAGGTAATATGCAAGTGATATGCATGCTAATAAGCAACTAGTTAATAGTGAGAATTGGTACCTAAACTAAAGTGTTACCCGTTATGTATTTGGTAGACACTTTTATCCAAAGTGACTTATATTGCATTCAAGGTACAAATTTTATTGGTTCATGCATTCCCTGGGAATCGAACCCATGACCTCGGTGTTGCAAGTGCAATGGTCTGCTGTTTGAGCTAGAGGAAATCTCAGGAAATCTAGGATTTTCAAGAATTAATTGGCTGCCTGTGCAAAACTCAGTGCCACAGTGCAGGGCTGTTGTGGGTGGTTGCAAGAAAGTTGCTAAGGGGTTCTGTGTGGCTTTTTAGCATGTTGCTTTGGCATAGGCGTAGTGTGAACCAACTGCAGGGTAAGGCTAAAAGTAGCCTAATGTTAGTGTAATCTATTAACTATGCACACCATAAACCCATCTTTTTAGGCAATCAATGAAGGTGTCTGCACTGTTGTTTATGATGAGAGAATTCGCGAGAGTGCAGAATTCAGTCAGTGAGCGTGTGCACAGAACACAGGTGTTTCAGAGATGACTACCTCTGATTGACCATTGCATTCATAAACTCAACGGAATCGTATGTGATTGGTTATATTGCGCAACACTATAAAAACGCATAAAAATAAATATGATGCAACATTAGCAATTCTAAATGCATGGGGTAACTTATTGTATGTGTCAAAATGTAATAGTTACTATGAGTAGGGTGACCATACGTGCCATTTTCCCAGGACGCATCCTGGCCAGGATTTCTATATTGCCTAAAATATCTAGGTTTTGGCTTTGTTTGCGTGTGCAGACCAATCGGTGTACATCAAAATACCTCGAGAGCACTTTGAAAGCATAAGGAACCCAGGACGCGTCCTGGGAAAATGGCACGTATGGTCACCCTAACTATGAGCAATAGTAAAAGTGATGCTTGATTTAGCAAATGTCACTGATTAAAAGCTCAAAGCTGTAGTTCAAACAACAGAGCATGGTGCTAGCAATGCCAAGGTCATGGGTTTGATTCCCAGGGATCGGACAATTTCAAGTCTACACCGACCCTTATAATCTAATCGACATTTCGTTCAGATCAATTGTTTACATGAAAGCTTTTCAATCCTACTGAGTCATTAATCCGATTACTAATGGATTATTTGGTTGTATATAAACGTATTTTGAGCTGTGCTTCATACATCACTATACTTTTGACAATGGACCTATTTGTTTGCAAAATTTTCATTATTATATGAAAACGGTTCAACAACTACATGTGAATCGCACCTTAGGGCCTCTCTAACCAAAGCTGGCTAGATCCACAACATCTGAGTATCCACTAAGCCTACAAAAACATACTGAATAGATGGAATCCCACATATCTAAATAATATATTCATATATAAGCATGGTGAACATCCACTGTAGCTTGCAGTTTTTTGACTGGCAGTTCTGTCATAGAGTGACGCTAGTTAGCTTGGGACCGAAAGAACTATAGAGCTCAGTCATCAAAACAGCACCAGCCGTCCAGAGAGCAGTGCTGAGGATACAATTCATTACACCATGGCGGGAAGGATGGAGTGGGAGCTGCTAAGGACACACCGCACACATTTCCTTTGGGAAATATTGCTGGCGTACTTAGTGGCGTAGTTGGCAAAGGTACAATCTGAGCACTATCATGTACGTTATTCTCCAGAGAGGCTCCTGCACAAAGCTTTCTCAATGGACGGAAGACTGATGCTACAGCCAAAGTGCCTTACAAATCTTTACCACATTTCTCTAAGAAAATGACATTCGCCGTTATCGGCTCCTTTTCCACCCATTGGAAAGTTTCCTAAAATGGATCCTAATCCACACTTTGTAAATCAGGTTACGTAAACGTAGGGCTGCATGATGAATCGCATTTTAATTGTGATCACGATTTCCACTTCTCTTGATTTATTAAAGCGATAGTTCACCCAAATGAATATAGAAATAATATAAGAAATTAGAGAAATATAGAAGCTCAATGCGGAGAAGATCTTGGTTAGGTTAAAACCGAAACCAAGCCATTCACACAGAACGCATTCGGCGCATTTTTGAGATGCACAACTATGACTGTTGCACTCACGTCTCGCACAAGAGATGAATAGAAAGCCATGTAAAGTTAAAAGAGGTTCAACTTTTAGAAAACATGTCTGGAGAATTTGTGGGAATTATATTCCATTCCACTGAGTCTCATATGTTTTTAAATGCAATCGTGCGATCGGCGCTTTGGCTATTTGTATTAAGATACGCATAAATACATGATGCGGTTTTTGTTTATGCAATTTACAAAATTATATTTGATTATGTTAGTTTAGATGTTACACACTTTTTTTATAGACACTGAATAAACAATTTAACACGGTGCATTATTTTGCTCATTGCGGCCTCCTGTGGAGACAGACCAAATGTTTCCTTAACACTTATTTAATCTGCATATAATATATAAAAAAATAAGATATTCATTTAAATTTTATTTTGTGTTTGACTGTTAACTAAAATTATTTGTTGTTTGTCTTAATAAATTGGGATAAAAATACAGTAGTTAATTAAAAAAAAATCTACTGCTCTTTGTTTAAAATAGGTTATTAAAAAATTTCAATAATTATTGATACCGAATGATATGAAATTGTGATCATTTTTTTGGCTATATCGCCTATAGCCCTACTCGAGGGTGAGTAAATGATTACAAAATTGTAATTTTTGGGTGAACTATCCCCTTAGGATAATCATCAGCGGTTATTTATCCTGAAAACATTTCATTTTAATTTGGCATTTGCGTTATCTTGCATTGGTAACAAGACTCCACAAGCTTTCATAGTTGCGGATGCCAGATTTCAAGAGCTTAAATCCCCCAATCAGAGCTTTTTTCATATTGATACATTTCTGCCCCGTTTTTTTACTTTATCTGCCCAACCTGGCAACCATGCACACACATTCTCTCTACATTACAGAAAAAGCGCTGATGAGCTGAAAACACTGGCAAACATGTAAGTTGGAGTTTAACGATCTCCATTGAGATATTCTTCTCAAATACAAGCGTAATACAGCCAGTCAGCTTTCTTTCACGCAGTCATTTGCGCTGTTTGCAGTGACTAGATCCGTGAGCAAACCACGCGAGTTGAAATTCTCTTGATTAGTGCTTAAATTAAAGTACAATAATGTAAAAAACTATATAAAATAATAATAATAAAATGACAGTATTTCGTGATTATATTTTTTAAGCAAAATCATGATTAACCAGTTATCGTGCAGCCCTACATAAATGTGAAACATTTTGAGAGGTGCCACTAGCTACTCTAGTCCAAACTACTACCCACAGCACTAATATGGAGCAGCATGAGAACGAGAGTGAACCGCTGTGGTTTACTACCTGTCCACGCTATTGTAAGCCCCGTCTGAGAAGGCACGGGCCATCCTAGTGGAGCGCAGTAACCTGACCGCGTCCTCCCGATAGAGGGGGTGCATACTATGAGTCAGAACAGAAAGTGAGAGTGCAGTGGTTAGAGTCGGGTGGGGCAAGTTGGCCTTATCTAGGTGATAAAGTGGCGGAGCTCTTAAACTCTCTTTATCCGGCACTTCCAGGCACAGGTGAAGATCGCTCGAAGCACAAAAGCAGAAATCAAGTAACTTTGGGTCAAGAGAACTGGCAGATATGCTAAGCAATCAAAACTATCATGTTGCAGCACACACCAGCAGCAACAAAGATTTGTTCATCCCACAGAAGTGCAGATGTAGTTCTTTTTTCAGTGGCGAGAATTAAAAATGTGCAAGTGCGACTACTTGTGTACAGTACTATTGCACACTAGATAATACTAGCATACAGTGTTGGGGGTAGCATGAGTTACGTAATCAGATTACTTTTTTCAAGTAACTAGTAAAGTAACACATTACTTTTTAATTTACAATGAAATATCTGAGTTACTTTTTCAAATAAGTAACGCCAGTTACTTTGTTTCCCATTTATTCACTGACTCCTCTCCTGTCCCCATGATGAGAGAAATTAAAGGTGAGGTGCAGAGGCACTTCCTTCAGCCTGAGACTTATTAATTTCACTTTTGGTGTGAAAGGGCCTTTACAGTTGCTAAAAATATAACTTTTGGGTGTTTTGCTATTAAAATTCAAAAAAGCAAGCCCAGCCCAGGTGACAAAAGGTAACGCAAAGGTATCGTTCCTTAAAGAGTAACTAAGTAACGCAATATTGTAATGCATTACTTTTAACTTTCCCCAACACAGCTAGCAAGTGCACAACACTACTGTGCTTTTTAAAAGAATTCACCAAACAGATGTGTGTGTGTGTGTGAGTTGATGACTTGACCCAAACTTTTGAACAGTATTATTTTGTGTATTCTGTCCTTCAGTTTGCAAACAATACAAACCAAAACCACATTTACAATGGCATATACACAGATGTGACATATATGTTATATAATAAATGTTTAAAAACAAAGTATTGCCACATTATACTGTAAGTGTTGAAATGAGACAAGTAATCTGGTAACTTTTCTGTAAGTAAGAAGAGCTTTAAAGTAGGTGCAAAATGAGTGCATTACTACTTAAAGTGTATCACTGTAATAAAATTATTTTCCATGGTAATGGACAGTTCGTCTCACAATCATGTTGACAGAGCTTTGCTTGTAGTGAAACCTGCATATTCCTTTAAAGTACATACTAAGAAAGTGAGAGCCTCAGTAACAGATGATTTCTCGTGTAAAAACATGACTTAGTTGTCCTAAGATGTGATATATTATGTATGAGTGCGTTCACTAGTCTTCATTTCATATTTGTAACGAATAAAGTGAGAAGAGCAACCTCTTATACAGTGCTATGTGTGGGCAAGCTGTCACCTGTCAATCAACTAGCAGCATGGGGGAAGTGGGCGGGTGAAAGTGAAAGGAGCGCTGTGATTGGACAGAAGGGGGAGGCCTGACAGAATACCTGGGGTCCTGGATAGCGGGGTCGACGCTTGGCTGTCTGTGTCTGGTTCGAGGAGGGAGGGTAAGATACTGGCTGCAGGGAGTAAAGAACAGAAGTATGGCTGAATGGAGCTATTGAATATGGAGTGATGGAAAGATAGCGAGAGACTGACAGATAAAATGAGAGAGTGAGCTTTCTTGAAATGAAGTAAACCTTTCTATAGTTCTCTCTGTGTGGCATGTTTCATCATATTTCTCACACTGAATTTCAATAATCATGTTAAAGGAAAAGATGAAGGTATGTGGAAACACTCCCATTTATGTTCCCGGTATCAGAAAAGGCAATCTAGAAAACACTAAGACTTTTAAGGGCACAGGAGACACAAGTGCTGTGCATCTGGAGCGTGTTTTGTGAACTCATACCTGTCTGGTGAGTATCTGTCTTCAGACAGGCGATGTCGGGGGCCGTACTGAGAGGGTCCTCCTCTCACACCGTGGTCTAAACTTCGACTGAAGGAGAGGAGAGAAAATAAATGAGAGCCCTGCTACAACAAAAGAGCTCTAATGACACTCCTGCTAGTTTTAATTGTGAGCAGTGTTATAATTAAAATGATGTATATACTATTAGTAATTATTATTTTCAATTAACTTTTATTTTATTTTCATTTTTTTTATTCTTAAATAATTTTACGTGCTTTTGATTTAAAAAAATATATATATATTTCTATTTAGCTTTAATTTAATGTTATTTCAAGTTATTTTACTAATTCAAGTATTTTGGTAACACTTTAGTTTAAGGACCAATTCTCACTATTAACTAGTTTATTAGCATGCATATTACTAGCATATTGGCTGTTTATCAGTACTTATAAAGCACATATTAATGCCTTATTCTGCCTGATCATATTCTAGATCCCTTAATCCAACCCCATACCTGAACTTAACAACTACAACAACTACCTTACTATCAATAAGCAGTAAATTAGGAGTTCATTGAGGGAAAACTATGAACATTATTAACAAAAGCTCATTAGTGACAACAGCTCAAACAGAATGACAGTAACAAGACAAGACAGATAACAAAAAGAATAAAAAATAGGAATTAACAATATACAAAAAATATTTTAAATACACAATATACAAAGTAGACAATAGATGGTATTTGTGTGTACAGGTGTGTTACATACATATGCATGCTAATAAGCAGCTAGTTAATAGTGAATAGAGAACAGGGTAAATATCACTAACAATATAAAAGATATTTTTTTTAATGACCAATTTCCCCCCTCTTTCTGGGCTGCTGATCTGATTCATGTAAACGCTCTGCTAACATGTGAAATGAGCAACAGCGCTGTGCTCACTGAACTGTGCTTTTACAAACTGTATAGTTGTACCACCTATTAAGATCAGCCTGAAACCATCAGAGATATTGTTAAAAATGAACATCAGCCACTAGTTTTTAATGCTGGGGTCCTGGAGCAGCACAACGTTTGCCAAACTGTCCTGATATCTTAAGTTTAGCATTAGTTAAATGCCACCTTGGTGGCAAAGTTGCTGTATTGCAAATAGACATGACTGATAAAAATGTCTTGATGTCAGAAAGCTGAAGGACGAGACGTTTTTGCAGAATTATTTCCATAAATCAGCTTTATTTTGGACTGGGGAGGAAGTTTGGAGCATGTTTTATGATATGACCGCTTGACACATAACTAACGTGTTATATATGTATGTGTTTGTACCTTTGTGGTGGAGGGACGCTGGGTGAGCGTGAGCGTGTGCGGGTCACGTCCGATCGGGAACAGTGATTGGACGATATCACCTGCTCCGGGACAGACAGAGTGGAGCTCTGGAAATCCCTGCCATTGTGCCGGTAATCTGAGGAGGCAAACACAGCACAACACATTTACATCAGCATTTAACAACCAAATTATAACTCTCACATTCACTGAAAAATAGGAATAAAGTAGGACCTAATACAATGGCATTCAGACATTTTTAGGTGGTACTGTGTGTGGTCTACCACACTGAACTTTATTTACAGTGATGCAAAACTAATGCGGTGAGTGTGAAATGACGGTGAGGATTTTCCTTGTGCTGAGTCGGGAGACTAAAGTTCACAGTAATCTTCTCTCTGACAATATCCTTTAATTTGATTTGTTGATCAGCATGTGTGAACGCACACAAAGACTGGGACAAACTGTGTACAATCAGACATCGAAAAGATCATTGCAGACACAGCTGGCATTTATTCAGATCAGATTATGCATCCTCAAATCAGTGTGTGACATACTTTTACTCAGCAAGGATGCATTACATTTATCTAAAGTGACAGTAAAGACGTTTATGATGTTACAAAGGATTTCTATTTCAATTAAATGCTTAACTTTTTATTAATCAAAGATGATTAAAATGCTTGTTTCCACAAAAATATGCATGTTTTCAACATTTATAATAATCATGTTTGTTGAGCAACAAATCAGCATATCAGAATGATTTCTGAAGGATCATGTGACACTGAAGACTGGAGTAATGATGCTGAAAATTCAGCTTTGATCACAGGAATAAATTACATTTTAAATGATATTGACATAGAAAACTGTTATTTGGAATTGTAATAATATTTCACAATAGTATTGTTTCTACTGTACTTTTGATCAAATAAATGCAGCCTTGGTGAGCAGAAAAGTCTTCTTTCATAAACATAAAAAATGTATTTGATATATAAAAGATTACTGAATTTAATCGAAAAAAAATGAATAAAATGCTTTCAAGGGCGCTCAAGTGTTCAGTTTTGTAAGTAGAGAGCGGCGCTAAAGCAAGGAGAGGTGACTTAGCTGTACCTGAGATAACACCAATCCCGTCTTCACCGTCGTAATCAGAGAACTCGTTGTCACTGATTCTCTGTGACCCTGAGAGAGTGGAGAGAGAGCGAGAGAGCGAGAGAGAGAGAGCGAGAGCGAGAGCGAGAGCGCGAGAGAGCGAGAGAGAGAGAGAGAGCAAGAGAGAGAGAGAGAGAG